CATCAAAGGGCCGCACTTGAGGACCTAGAGGGACACATGTAGCTTCGAGGCTGCAGGTTCCCCACCCCTGGTAGGAATTACTAGCTTTTTTTTCGTGTAAGAGACTACTTTGGCAGGCTAGTGAGACCTATGGACCCCTCTCAGAATCACATTTTTAAATGAATGAAATAGAATTCATAGGATTACAAAGGAAATATCAGTATTCAAGTTCTTGAAAGGCAAGTTCAGGGCCCCCAGATTAAGGGCCTCTGATGTAGGGGGAAGGAACACTCCCATAAGTGAAAACAAAGACACTTGAAGTATTGGAGATAAGTATAGAGAGAAGCCAAGAGGTGAATAGACAGAAAGATGTACAGACAGATTGTTTAGAAAGAAAGGTTTAAAGGGTATGGGGGAGAAAGAGCACCTCTTCTGAGACAGGATAGACCTAGTGACTCCCCATCCAATATGCCAAGGGCTTTCAGATAAGCTCTGCAGACACACCTGCAGCTTTCAAAATAGCATTTTTTTCCTTAAGATTTTTCTTTTAAACCAGAGGTTGAAATCTTAATAGGTCGTGCCTTCAGGCTAAGGACCCCACAAAAGCTGACGTCTGTCGCATTGATATGGCATATCTCTAGCATGCACATGCATATAAAACTTACCTTTTGAAATAGGCTGCCAATATCATCTACAGCATACACAACATAATACAAAACCAGAAAAGGGGGGACATTTAAATTAGTAGTTCCCCGACCTTCTCCCCCCACTCTCCCCATGTAATGTGCATACAGTCTGCAAGAAATTATGGTAATCAGAAACAAGGCTGAAATGATTAGGATGCACACCTTTCGGATATAATCAACAGTCAGCAATTTGAGGGCTGTCCTCAGAGTGAACCTGGATGTAGCATAGCTTCTGGACCCCTGAAAACATCTACTGAAACCCCCTTACCCTCAGACCCATACACATGCCCACTTACGCCCACACTCGCCACTCTGAGTCGCCTGTCATACTGCAGAGAGCTCTGAAAGGCACTGGATAAGCTCAGGGGATTATTACAGGGTTCAGGGAAGGCAACTCTGTAATTATGGCTGCACTGTGATTTCCATTATTCTAACCCCCTGGTTTTCAGCAGCTCACAAAACTTCCTGCAAAATCCTCTTCAGCATGAAAGCTTTTCACGCCTGGTCTTTTGCCCAAAGGTGATTTTGGTCCAGATAACCCCTGGGAAAAGTAGACCTGAGTTATTACAAGGAAAGGGAGTAGGGGTAGGAATGGAGGCTGTTTAGGGGAAGGGGGGGGGTGACATTCTATTGTTTAGGGAAAAATAAATAAATAAACTTGCTACTTTCATTTTTTATTATTTCAAACAACAAACCCAAAGGCCCGGCTTTCCGTTCCCAACTCAGAAGGTCCCTCAGGGGCTTCCGTGCTGACTGGCCACATGAACTATGGCTGAAATTTGGCAATATTATTAAAAAGTGCCACCATTCCAAAGTTTTGTAGCTGGGTAGGCTTTGCTTCCCTCTCCAGGGTACCATTGCTCATTTCCCCCTGTGTGACCAAGGGTTCAGTTCTTTCCCTTCAGGTGTGTATAACTCCACTCCTATCACCCTGGAAATTAAATGTTGAAACATTGAAAGACTGCAGAACTCTGATAAATATAATGACAAATCATAGTATACCAAGGACTGAAGTTGAATCCCACCCTTCACTTCCTGCCAGAGAAGCAATGGACTTAAAATCCTGAATTAGATGTGCATATTTGTACATGGGTAATATGGAAAATTGTTTTGCTAGACTATTGAGTATTTATTGTGAGGGTTTGTTTTTATTTTGTTTTGTTTTATTGTTCTATGGCAGAGGGAGAGAGATAATAACTGTGAAAATAAATTTTAAAATAAAAAAATCTTTTAAAAATTATTTCTTCTTTCCTCCCCCTACCACACCCCAAAAAGAAATTAAAAAGTGAGTTTTCCAGACCACAGCAGAGTAAGGTAAAGGACTAGACCTGTGATGTTGTGGTTATGAGGAACTCCAGGGTGTGTAAACTCCCTTTATCAATGGAGGCCATCAACTTGTCTGTAACTTGAGAGGTGCCTGGGGCAAGTGGCTTGCCCAGGGTTACACAGCCAGTTTGTGTCAGAGGCAGCAGATTCAAAGCAATAAAATAAGGTAAAGGTTGGGGGAGAAGGGTGTTATAGGAAGAAGGCAGCCAATAGTGGAGGAGGAAGAAGGTTTACAGAAGTCAAACCCAAGGAATCAAAGAGTATACTAATCTGGGACCACTGATTGTAGGGGCAAACAGCCACATACACTTCCATAGCTCCTGATGGCACCACTTCTTTTCAACACAGTATAATAATTCATGTTTGTAATTATCACCAATCATACCAAATGGATAAATTATATTTGGCACACTATGTACAGAAGACGTAGAACTATGCCAGAGACTTTCATAAAAAATAAAAACATTTTGGGAGTTAAGGATATGTACTTCAGTTATCTGGGGAAAGAGGATCTAGCTCATTACTGCATGATTCTCAATAAATGAGGCCCTATTGCACACCATCTTCGCCTAGAGTAAACAGGAAATGACTGACATATATTTTCACTCCCCCACATTTCTTTTCCAGGAATCAGTCATGAAAGAGAGACACCTTGACTCCAGTCCTCTCCTCGGTTTTCTTTAGGCTACACTACAGAGAACAGAATGTCTAAAATAAAACAACCTTGACCTGGCTACTCCAGAATGGAATGTTCTGTTGTACCATATGATGTATCATATACTATCCCTGAGAATTTGTAGAGAATGTTTCTCCTCTGGAGATCTGAGGTCACAGCCCAGGCATACAATAGAGAAAAAGGAAGCAACACAGAGTATCTTCTTCATGTCAGAGAGTATTGTTTCCCTCTCGCCTGATTTCCCCTCATTTCTAACGTATCTCACTTCTCCAGTTGCCTTGCTATGGCATGGAGGTGACTCTAGGCTTCCAAAGCTTGTGCCAACAGAGCCCTGGCAGGCCCTACCAAGCTGGGAAGGCTTTAAGGACAGGCCTGGTGGCAGATAGACTGTTCATCTATCATCTAAAAAACAACCTTTCTGTGTTGGGAGAGGCTCATCACCAGGTCACAGTTTCTTTTCGTTACTGCCACTCATGAAACACAGAGGCCATGCAATTTCTGCAGGAGGATGGGGGTACACATCAACGAAATGACAGGTTTTTCAAAGAATTACAATTGCAGCCTATGCAAAACAAGCATTTCTTGAGCTCCACGTGCAGTCAGAATTTTTGTTGGCAAAGACTGTGGTTCAATTTTAAGCCAACAAAAGGGGTACACATTACATACAGTCACAAAAAGCCTTGGAAGCCAGCTTAAGGGGTACATGTCATACAACATGTATAAAGTATGGCCCTGGCTCATTTAGCTCCAGTGCTGCTAACAACCCACAACAGAACTGTTCTGGTTGATTTGGAAGTGACAGTGTTCTGGCAAAGCTCAATGCTATTTCACCAGAGGTCTTCACTGCTATGGCATCACCCATACCCTGCAAGCCTCAACGGGATTACAATAAAAAATTGGGCATAGCCTTTCCCTGGGAGAATTTACAAATCCCTAACTTTGACAACACCAGCCCCATACCAAGTCTACATATACCTGCCCTCATTCAGCACCATAGCCCAGGGAGCAGCCTGACTGTCCCCATGAGCAGCTCCCATGTTTTCTGCTCTTTCCTCACCTTGCCTAATGGAAGTCTTGGCATTCCCAAATGCATCTGCCAGCTCAAGTCACCATAGTCAGAGTCACAGGAGCCCCACCAAACCATTGCACACACAGAGCTGCCCCCGTTCAATGAGTTTCTGATACCTCATCACTTGTAGCCAAATCTAGAGAGCGTGTTCTGGGCCCGAGGAAGGACAGGGTAAGACAGGTTGTGTGCCTGCTGGGTGATGCCTACTTCTAGCTCCAAGACCGATAAAGTTAGGATTACTTGCTCACATCAGTCCCCAAGTAGGAAAAGACAGAAGGTCTGTCTGGTTATTATGATATCATTAGCTCATTTCCTTAGCTCAGGCCAACCAGGCACAAGGTATAAAAAAGATTAGACCCTAGAGTGTATCTAGTCCTAGGTTCCTGAACCTGCCTCCTTACTGAGCTCATGTTTTATTGGGATTGCCCCAATTCCACTTTCTAGAGGTTTTCCCCAAACCAAAACTTACATCAGCTTTTCCTTGGGTAGAAGACAAGCACTTATTCTCTGCTTGTCCCAGCGAACTCCCATAAGATATGAAGGATCAATGGAACTTCTTACTACTCAAAAATTAGGCACACGTAAAATAATCCTGTACCCTTCCAGGATCTATAATTTCATCAGTGGGCTATCCCACCCACTAATGCAGATCAAAACAATCTGTTCCATTTTGTCACATTTTAGCAGATGTTCTTTCTGGAATTCTGGGGCCAAAAAAAAAAACCCAACACCTGGTGGCCAACCTTTTTTTATACATATAAAAGAGGAAAGGTATTCAGGGTTTAGCTATGTCAGCAATGATATCAGAGCCCTCTTCTATCTCTTCCATGTGTTTCCCAGTTATTTTCTTCATCTCTCTTTTTAACCACCTGGTTCCAAGCAACACTCTTTTCTCTCTGAGGTTGACAATACTCTCCTTTCAATCATTCTTTTTCCTTAGCAACAAAATAATTTACCAAGTTTTGCTTCCCTACATCTCCAAACCTATGGATGTGATCTCCTACCCATCCAGGGCAGGAAGACAAAGGAAAAAGATCATAACCATTCAGACACTTTGGAATCAATTTCTTGACTCAAAGTATCTATAAAGCTCCATAAGACACAAAGAAAAATAACTTTAGGACCATAGGTGTCTTTAGGAAATAGAAAATAGATACACAGACAAGGCCAAAGGGCTTTCCGAAGGTCTCCCTGCAGTTCAGTTGCAGAACTAGGAAAGATGTAGTTCAAAACCACAGAGATGCCCAATTGGCAAAGTTCCTACCTTTTTCAGCTTGCCACTCTTGGTGCCCACGAAAGCCAGTGAGTGCTCCTTGTAAACATAGGCAATGACTGAGGTCATTCGGTCCCTGTCCTCCGTGAAGATGGGCATGCCACGTACCATCTCTGAAACACCAAGGGGTGCATTCATATCCAGGCCACAGAAGTTATCATCAATGGTTAGGAGCTGAGGATGGTAAAAGAGAAAAATTAGGTGAAGTCAGGGCAATGGAAAGAGCACACACAGAATTCCTCACTTCATTTTCCCAGCTTCATTAAGCACATTTCATTGACCTAGAGTATCTGTCAATCATCGTCACCATCATCATCTTCCTCCTCCTCACCATCCAAAGCAACTCTGAGGCATAGAGAGATTTCCATCTTCACAGGCTGTGGAAATTCACACACATGTAAAATCATAGATCTTTCTCTAATAATAAAATAAGTACTTTAATGCAGTGCATATCCTACTCTTCTAAGGCAGGAGAGAAACATAAAAAGACTATCCCTCTATCATGCATAGGTAGCATACAGTTAAGTACACTTCAAAAGTGGGGAACAAGGATCAGAATCTAACCAAGACTGGGAGGCAGGAAGCAGGAAGAGTGGAAAGTTACATACGTTACATATCCAAATTGGATAGCATAGCAGGGAGGAGAGAGGACTTATTGCTCCAATCTTTTGTTTTCATTCACTCTTTGTTGTTATTGTTCAGTTGTTTCAGTCGTGTCCAATTCTTCGAGACCCTATTTAGGGTTTTCTTGGCACTGGTTTGCCATTTCCTTCTCTAGCTCATTTTGCAGATGAGGAAACTGAGGCAAACAGGGTGAAGTGAATTGCCAGGATGAAGTATTGAAACAATCCTCCAAGTTTTTCCAAGAGGCTCACTTTCCATTATATTGACAAAGGGGAGGTCACAGAGAGGGTTTGGGTAGGAAATACTTCCCCCACCCCCATGCTTGCTCAACATACAGAATCTGTCGGGTATCTGGTCACTCAGGTGTGTGTGTGTGTGTGTGTGTGTGTGTGTGTGTGTGTGTTTTAAGAAGGAACCTTGCTTGGGAATTTGGAAAGAGTAAAGTTGTCTAATGTCACATTGTGCTGTTGGCAGGATTCCTCCCGCTGTTCTCCAGATGCCTTTTCATTTGGCTCAACTGAAGTCTTTTGAAAAATGACAACTTGTATTTTATCTCACACCTCTCCCTGAGGAACTCAAAGACTTTTCACCCACACAATCTCAGTATTCTTTATGGGAGCCCCAATAGAAGGTTTAGATACTTCTCCTTGTTTTTAGAGAATAGAAATCAGATGCACAGAAAGGTTAACTAACTTTCCTGAGAATAAAAATTCTAGACTTCCAAGCATTGAGAGTGCTTTCTGCTAGATTAAAATGGAGGACTTTGAGTACCATAGCAGTTGGGTGCCTTCTCTTATCTATAAGCTAAGACCGAATGAAGGTGGCACAATCGATAGAGTACCAGGCCTCTAGTCAGGAAGGCATGAGTTCAAATGTGGCCTCTAATGTTCCTCCCAGCTCTAACAGTCTGTGATGCTCTGTTCTACCTCAGTTCAATCAGAACTTGCATTATAGTTTTATCTTTGTTCATGTCACTACTTACCCCCACCTGAACCCTCCCCCCAATAGAATTTAAGTTCCTTGAGCTCAGGAGTTATGCTCCTTTTATCTTTATATCTCTAGGTCCAAGTACATAGTAGGGTTTTATAAACATTGGTGGGATTTTTGAGAGTTGAGGGTTACTCGCCCATGGCTCCAATGTGAGGACAATCCACAGAACCAGGCCTCAGTGTCCCCAGGGCATTCTGCTTTCCATCCAGCATGCCCTTGGCCCTGCTCTTGCTTGGTCACTGCCAGCTTCACAGGATTTTCTTCTAACAGAGGCATACCATGCCATGCTTGACGCCTAATACATTTCCAGAACCGACATCAGATGCTCTCTGCCCTTGAGATCAATTTCCTCACTGTCTATCACTGTCTAATAGAACATCTAGAAGCGTGCATTGCACCATGGCGATGGAAAGAGAAAATTCCTTGCAGGATGCCACTATCTTCTATTTGCAAGGGGCAGACAAAGATGCCTTGCACACTTCTGGAACCAGTGCTCCCAAAGAAACGAATCATAATCAGAAAAAGGAAGGAAGGAAGAAAGGGAGAGAGGAAGAGAAGAGCAGAGGAAGAGAGAAAATGAGAGAGGGAAGGAGAAAGATAAAGAAAAAAGAAAAGGAGAAAAAGAAATATATTTTATCTAATATTTCATTTTACTAAGCCATATTCATGTAGGAGCCATGATTCAACCATGGGTTTCAACCCTCAAGTCTCAATATTTTCTATGGGGTCAAATTTGATTCCTACATTAGAACCTCTTGGTAGGCTCTGAATATAGACATTTTTTTTGGCAAGGCAATCAGGGTTAAGTGACTTGCCTAGGATCACACAGCTAGTAAGTGTCAAGTGACTGAAGTCAGATTTGAACTCAGGTTCCCCTGACTCCAAGGCCAGTGCTCTATCCGCTGTACCACCTAGCTGGTCCAGGATACAGACATTTGATTCCATATGTTTTTCATCTTACTCCTTTCTTGGAGGAAAGAAAAAGAAAGAAAGAAAGAAAGAAAGAAAGAAAGAAAGAAGAAGGAAAGAAGGAAAGAAGGAAAGAAAGAAGGAAGGAAGGAAGAAAGGAAAGAAAGAAAGAAAAAAAAAAAAAAAAAAAAAGAAAGAAAAAAAGAAAGAAAGAAAGAAAGAAAGAAAGAAAGAAAGAAAGAAAGAAGGAAGAGAGAGAGAGAGAGAGAGAGAGAGAGATAACTCCCTGCCCAGGAGAAGGACAAAGGCAACATTCATTGAATCTTCTCAATGTGACCTTTAAGTCCCATAGATCTTTCCCACCAAAGTGGGTGAGTAACTAAGTGTGGGTCAGCAGACATGGGAGAATTTAAAGAGTCAAGTTATAAACTGACCATCGAGTTATAGTTGATAGAACTGGGAGTTTAAACAGACTTTAGAGCATTCAGAGGGAGCTCAGGGATCATTTAGTCTGACCCCCTCAGTTTATGGGTAGGGAAATAAAGTGATTCACCCTTCAACACAGAGGTCATAAATAGGGTTTTAAGAAAACTCTAGTTTTCTAGTGCTCTAGACCACAGAGGACATCTAATCCAACTTCCTCATTTTACAGATATAGAAACTGAGGCCTGGGGAGGTAAAGTGATTTGCCCAAAGTCACACAGGAAGTAAGCATCCAAAATCGGGTTCAAACCCAGGTTCTCTGACTACAAAACTAGTATTCTTGCCACTGTACCATGGTAGAGCTGGGATTTAAATCCAAGTCTTTTAACTCAAAGTCCAGTGCTCTTAAGTATGAAAAAGGGTGAAAGGGACCAAGTTAGTAAAGCTCCCATAGACCAATTGTGAGAGGCACAGGCTTACAAATACCTGGGTCCTCTTTTTGCTAAGAAACGTAGGTTAACTACTCAAGTCATTTCACAAGTTGGAACTGCTAATAATTGCAGAGAGAGGAAGGGAGACAGCTGTCTGTGTGGTTACTAGCCCTGGTACAGCCCTACCTCAAGACCCCCGTTAGTAACAAGATGACAGCAGCAATGTGTTGAGCCAAGAACTCAGAAATTGTAACTGCAAACCCAGCGAGAGGTGCAGAAGGAGGGCAAAGAGCATTCACGTTCCCTCATGGTAGCTGCACTGGATTCCACATGGAGCAGCTCCAGTGAAGGCTCCCTGCTCTCCTCTATGTCCCTTAGCAAGAAAATGTCATTCCAGGATAACGTGGCCATGAAAGCCACGAGGCCATGTTCAATACTATAATGTTTAATTATCAAGGGAAACACCTATTACAAAAGAGATAACAAATGAGCATAGACTCCATGTGTTCGTTTTGACCCCATAATGGCACATTTGACACAGATGACCTTAACACAGTGTTGGGCAACACGCTAAAATGTAAACTGCCTAATGTTTTTGAGTTTTCACCGCAAGAACCATGTAAGGTAGGCACATTAGCTGGACTTAAGTAGTTAGCAGTCAGTGAGCTTTTATTAAGTGCCTACTATATAGCACTACACCGTGCTAAGCTTGGTGGGTACAAAGGCAAAAGATGGTTTCTGCTCTCAAGGACCTCAGAGTCTAATAGGGGAAACAACTGCAAACAACTACGTACAAACAAGATACATACAGGATAAATCGGAGATAATCCACAAAGGGGAAGATACTAGCACTAAGGGGGAGTCAGGATTTAAATTCCAACTCTGATACTTCAATTGATCAATAAACATGTATTAAGTTCCAGAAATGTGCTAAGTACTGGGGACACAAAAAGACGCAAAAGACAGATCCTGCCCTCAAGGAGCTTACGATCTAATGGGAGAGAAAACAAGCAAACAAATATGTACAAACAAGTTATAAAGAAGATAAATGGAAGTAACTACAGAGGGAAGGCATTAGGATTAAGAGGGGTTAGGAAAGGCTTCTCACAAAAGATGGGATCTTAGTTGGGGCTTAAAGAAAGTCCAGGAAGTCAACTGAGCATTCTGGGAATGGAGGACAACCTGAGAAAATGCCTGAAGCTTTACTGGCTATATGATTAAGACCATGTTATTAAGCTCTTCTGAGCCTCAGTTTCCTCATCTATAAACCACAAGATAATAATAATTCATGTTTCTTCTTGGAACTTAAGGTGTGGAGAGGAATCATTTGAGAATGGAATGAGCACTGGATCTGGAGTCAAGACTTCAGCTTGAATCTCACCTTTGATATTTATCAGCTGTGTGACCATGGACAAGACATACTTCAATTTCTTTGTGAGGGGGACTTCCTAAATGACCTCTGAAATACTTCCTACCTCTAAATCAAAGATCCTATGATCCCACCCAAGCCTCAGTTTCCCCATCTATAAAAGGGGAACAATAATACCTATCTCATAGAGTTGTAATGAGGTTTACATGAGACAATATAGCTAAAAGTGCTTGGAAAACCTTCAAATGCTAAGCCATCTTTTTTTGAGCTTTCACCACAAGAACCACATGAGGTAGGCAACACTGCATCATGATCTCACATGTTGCAGGCAAGGGAAATAAAGTCTGAGAAGTTAGGCTTGAGAAAATGCATAATGTTTTCAGTCATCCTAAATTCCTGGAGCAAAGACTCATTTAAACATGAATGTT